TGTTCAGTTGTTCCTAGCGTAATATTTAAAGCCGGAAGTGAATTCTCTGTAGAACATACCGCCATAGGAGAAAGTTTGTTTTTCTTTTGAACTCGACGTTGGAATAGTCATAGGAACTTTAGTCGCATTTTCTATAATATATTTCACTCGTATATCTCTCGCTTCTGGTAAAATCTTCAATCTCACTTTTTTTTTCAATTTCTACTTAGCCAATCTTGATGAAATTTTTTTTATTCGACGCGGAACATGATTATAAAAAAAGTATTTATTTGGAATTATAGTCAGGCCTTTACTAGTAGTACTTTGTTTTTGCTCTGATTTCCCAATCCGGAAGTTTCTGTGTTACGCGGATGTTGAGTTACATCTTATTAAAAATCTTTTGATCTGATGCGGTTCAGCCGAACTATATCATATTGAAAAATATCCTTGAAATTGCCGAGCGCCGACAGAACTATACCGTACGTCATCGTCTTAGGTCTTGATATAATGTCACAATCATTAATCAAAACAAAATAGATATCCAAACAAAACATCTGAGATGTATTGATAAAAAATTATGACAATATGGATGTCAATCAAACTCTTAGGAATTTTTCTTTGGTAAAGATAAGCTTGGCGTTTCGAAGCCGTACCCACAAAACTATCTGTATTAAAAAAAATAAAGTGGTTTGTGAGGTCCCGGAAGGAAGTCAACCTGAAGGTCCAAATATGGACTATCAATCGAGAAATAAAATAAAATCTCCTTTTCAACTCGAAAGGGAGAAATTAAAGATCTCGATTAAACAATGGAAGTTTTTTTTTCTGAATTATTTAAACAATAGAAAAGACTAAAGTCGAGGGAAGCATGGCTGGAGAGGGATCGTATTTAGTCACGAAACTGGCCTTTCCCGCGCTTTCCGATCGGTTTCGAATTGTCACCAGGTGACGAGTCGGGACCAATGAAAAGGCGGCTTTAGGGGAAAACTTATAAAACTGCGAGTTTCAAGGACGGAAAGTTCTTGGTTCATAATGCTCCTTCTGGATTTTGTGCTCCTGTCCTTCAACAACGAAGGCTTGTTCGACATCCTAGGATTCGTTTCCGCTATCCTGTCCCGTCAAGATTCGCCCAGATACACCTGGTCATCTCGGCAAGTTGTGCTATGCGCCCCGGGGCCGTCGCTCTCCACATCATCTTCACCGGAAGAAACGAAACGATCGTCGGAACATTTGCACTTGTTTCCCACCTTTGGATAAGCATTACGCCTCAGTATATGAAGAGTTGTAAGGAAATTTATATATCTATTAAACAATTTTAAATGGTAAACTTGTCTCCGTGAGTCTTTCCACGCCCACACGACTGTCGTGACACTTTCCACCCAATCGGCTAATCTCACAGTTTCTCAGCAGTATAAGGTGTGTTTGTCATAATATTTAAGGAGTACGATCTGAGTATGTGTTGAAGTGGAAAATTTTCAAGAAAAAACTTGACTGACATCCATATTGTCATTTACTTAGCGCTAATTTTGTACATTTATCTTTATTGCTGACAATATACAAGAATGATTCAAACGACCAAGATAAAATAAATTTATTTTTAAGCTGTAGAGGGTGAGCATCCAGTGCAAAATCGAATCGAATTTAAATTAAAAATTGTTCGTTTAAAGGAATCAGACCTATGTTATAGGACTTATATATAGTTAAATATAATGTATATAACAAATTATAGTAGAATGTTACAGGAATTACTGCAGTTGATGTTTTCTGCTGAAAACCACGAAGAAAAAGATTTATTAATTAAGAAAAATTGTCGAACTTTACGAATATAATAGTGAATACTATGGCGATTCTGTAGAATTTCAAATGATGGAAGAATATGTCCTTTGGTCTAAGACTCTAAGGTACTAAAATGTTACGAATGGAATATCAAGGACAGTAATTTAGTCTCTAACATTCTTCATAAAGTTTATCGTGACTCTGGCTATCCTCTGCTGATTTTACTATATAAAAATAATCATTCGATTGTTTTCGATACTTTATAAATTAAGCAAATTCGTGTAGATTTCTATGGCAAGGTCATCGACTAGTCGATTGCAGTTTTACTTACACCAACGTCGTATTCCATTCGTGTCAATACTAATGATGCCACGAATAGTGATTTTGCCAAATACCGAATATTCGGCTACGCTCTCGGCCGAAGCGTCGAATATTCGGCGGCCGAATGTTCGACAGAATATGTGTACATTTCGCGGGTGACAGGTTACGACCTGTCTCATTGCGGTGGGTGCGGTAGTGACTCCGCGGGCGCATTTGTTTTATTTGCGAGTAGCTTGTGTCACGACATGCATTATTTGTTCGTTGTTACATCAAATTGTGTTACTAATAGTCCTTATTACTAAAAAATATTACTGTTTGTATCACTTTATATGAAAACTGTTTGTCTACATCGGACGGCAGATCTTTACAAGTGGTGGTCAGCAAACGCAAAACAGTACCCAAGCCTGACAGAATTCACTAAGATTTATCTATTGTCTCCCGGCAGTAGTGTATATAGTGAGAGGCTATTTTCAGAACCAGGTATAGTTTGAGGAAAAGCGCAATAGTTTGCTATCAACAAATGCTGAATAAATTGTTTTCATTCATCACAATTTACCACTAATAGACTTTAAGTATTAAATGTAATCATTTGAATTTGTGATTAAAACAAATACGTTTTTGAGTAATATGTGCGTTTTTTTTTTCATGATTTGGTATTCGGCCGAATAGTATGCAACATTCGGCCGAATACCGAATATTAAAAAAAGTAGCCGAATAGGCCGAATACCGAATAGTAGCCGAATATTCGTGGCATATCTAGTCAATACGCTGTTAAATGTACTAATCCCAAGTTGTTGCTGTTACTCCTTCGATATAGAGTCCTATTGGGTGATATCGAAGAATATGAAATCTATAGATTGGATCTAATTAAATATTTCTTAAAAATTATACTAAACTGGATAGAATCGGCAACAGAAATCACAATACAAAAAATAAACGAGTTTGGGCAATTCAAGACCTGTTACACTATTTGTGAATATTGATGAGAGCACTTCCTTCAATTACGTTCAAAGAACTGGCGAAAGATTTCGTGTTACCAATAACGATCGTTTAAATACGACCATTTGCAACTTTATAGTAGAGGAATTAAGTGATTTTTTGTTTTTCCGTTTGGTGCGTACACGAATAAATCAGAAGATTTTTCGACGCGTGAGCCGGCCACATACAGTTGTCCATGCGAGAAGCACGGATTCTCCAAATCTAGCCCACACACTTGCAGCGATTGTCAGAAGTGCGACATTCCCCATTTTTATATATTTTTTAATCCTTTACAATTTTAATTATTTAATTGCTTCTTCCTCTCTTCCTTGGCGTGTTGTGAAATTTCTGATAGTTGGATAATAAACCGTTTTATTGTAATTTGTCTTTTTAAATTATTTTGAGTCGATATTAAAATTTGGAAAAGGGGGGATACCTAGATCGGTAAAATACGCGAATTTCTTCCTACAACTTCGGTTGTTGTTCGGGGTACAGTTAAGGTTTTAACGAAGCTCGAGCGAATAC